TCTTAGCGTGTTATGTATTATACTGTTGAGCACCATGTTTTGTGATATTACTACAGTTCAATTGATTTTGACCATTTTCTGTCATGTCCCACCTTGTTTACCTTCCCCACTGGCCTGCCACAGAGATCCTAGTGTATTTTGGAGGAAACTCTTACAGCTTATAAATCAAGGCATTCTGGGGGAAAAGAAACCAAAAACAAAACAGCTTTAAAATCTTTACATGTCTGCCCATTAATTAAAGAACACAGTTCCTTAACAAAATATTAGCAAATTGAATTCAACAATACATTAAAGGATCATATACCATGATCAAGTGGGATTTATTCCAGGGATTCAGGGATGATTCAGTATCTGCAAATCAGTCAATGTGATACACACATAAACAAAATGAAGGATAAAAATCATATGATCATCTCAATAGATTCACAAAAAGCATTTGACAAAATTCAACATCAATTTATTTTTTTTAAAGATTTATTTACTTTAGAGAAAGAGAGAGAGAGAGTGTGAGTGGGAGGAGGGGCAGAGGGAGAGAGAGAATCTCAAGCATACTGCATGTCCAGCATAGAGCCCAATGTGGGGTTCCATCTCATGACCCTGAGATCATGACCTGAGCCGAAATCAAGAGCCAGACACTCAACTGGCTGAGCCACCCAGGTGCCCTTCACCATCAATTTATGATAGAAACTCTCAACAAAGCAGGTATAGAGAGAATATACCTTAATATAATAAAGACCATATATGATAAGCCCACAGCTAACATACTCAATGAAAGCTTTCCTTCTAAGATCAGGAACAAGACAAGGATGCCCACTCTTACCACTTTTATTCAACATAGTGTTGAAAGTCTTAGCCAGAGCAATTAGACGAGAAAAAGAATTAAAAGTCATTCAAATGAGAAAGGAAGGAATAAAACTATTACTATTTGCAGATGTCATGATATTATATACAAAAAAAATCCAAAAGACTCCATCAAAAAACTGTTGGAACTAATAAATTCAGTAAAGTTACAGGATACAAAATCAATACACCAAAATCTGTTGTGTTTCTATACAGTAAAAATGAACTCTCAGAAAGAGAGTTACATCAGAAGGAATTTACAATTACATCAGAAGGAATAACATACGTGTAGGAAAAATTTAACAAAGGAGGTAAAAGGTTTGTATATTGAAAACTATAAGACATTACTGAAAGAAATTGAAGAAGACACAAATACATGGAAATCCATGGTCATGGATTGGAAGAATTGATATTGTTAAAATGTTCCATACTATCCCAAACAATATACAGGTTCCATGCAATCTCTATAAAAATTCCAGTGGCATTTCTTCACAGAAATAGAACAAATAATCCTAAAATATGTATGGAACCATAAAATATCCGGAATAGCCAAAGCAATCTTGAAAAAGAAGAACAAAACTGGAGATACTATGCTCCCTGATTTCTAACTATATTGCAAAGCTATAGTATTAAAACAGTGTGGTATTGCCATAGAAACAGACATGTAGATCAATGGAACAGAATAGAGAGCCCAGAACTAAGTCCACACAAAAATGGCCAATTAATTTACAACAGAGAAGCCCAAGATATACTATGGGGAAAAGACAGTCTCTTCAAAAGTGTTGGGAAAATTGGACAGCTGCATGCATAAGAATGATACTAACCCACTATTTTACACCACACAAAAAAATTAACTAAAAATGGGTTAAATATTTGAAAGCAAGGCCTGAATCCATATAATTCCTAGAAGAAAACATAGACAGTAAGCTCCTTGACATAGTTCTTGGCAATGATTTTTGAATCTGACACCAAAAGCAAAAGCAACAAAAGCAAAAATAAACAAGTGGGACTATATCAAACTGAAAACCTTCTGCACGGTAAAGAAAACTTGGCAAAATGAAAAGGCAACCTACAAAATGAAAGAAAATATTTGTGAATCATGTATCTCTTAAAGGGCAAATATCCAAAATATATAAAGAAATCATATAACTCAATGGCAAAAAACCAATCTGTTTAAAAGGTGGGTGGAAGATCTGAATAAATATTTTTCCAAAGAAGAATACAGATGGCCAAAAAATATATGAAAAGAAGCTCAGGATCACGAATTATGAGGGAAATGCAAATCAATCACAGTGAGGTATCACCTCACATCTGTCAGATTGGTTAGTATTGAAAAGACTAGAATAATCACAAATGCTGCAGAGGATGTGGAGTAAAGGGAACCCTCGCACACTGTTGGTGGGAAGGTAAATTGGGGCAGACACTATGAAAAACAGTATGGAACTTCCTCAAAAAATTAAAAATAGAACTGCCATATGATCCAAAAATTCCACTTTTGGGTATTTATCCAGAGAAAAGGGAAACTCTAACTCCAAAAGATATACGCTCCCCCATGTTCATTGCAGCATTATTTACAGTAGCCAAGATGTGGAAACAGCCTAAGTGTCCGTTTTGTTTAAAGATTTATTTTATTTATATTAGAGAATAGGAGAAGGGCAGAAGGAGAGAGAGAATCTCAAGCAGACTCTGCACTGAGCATGGAACCCGACACAGGGCTCAATTTCATGACCCTGAGATCATGACCTGAGCCAAAATCAAGAGTCAGATGCTTAACTGACTGAGCCACTCAGGCACCCCCAGCCTGTGTCCATTGATGGATGAATTGATAAAAAAAATTTGTGGCATATACATATGTAATGAAATGTTACTCAGCCACAAAACAAGAATGAAATCTTGCCATTTGCAACAACATGGATGGACCTTGAGGGCATAATGCTAAACGAAATAGCTACCACAGAGAAAGACAAATACCATATGATCTCTCTTACATGTGGAATCTAGAAAAAAATAGGTCTGTAATAAACTAAGCTCATAGATACAGAGAAAAGATGAGTGGTTGCCAGAGGCACGAGGTTGGGGTGGGAGAAATGGGTGAACTGTTTTTTTTTCTGGTTTTAGTTTTAGTTTAAATTGAATAATAAAAAAAGATACATACACCCTTCAACCCTGCAATTCTGGTCCTGGGTATGGACTCTAAAGAAACTCCTACAGATTATACCAGAAGATAGCATCATTCTTTATCTTTACTATCAGTAGGAAATGAATGAGTCAACTCATATAATGAAATACCAGATAGCAGTTAAAAATGAATAAATGAAAGTTACATACAACAACATGGATAAAACTTAGCAGCATCATTGTGAGTGAAGAAAGCAACCTGCAGAAGAATGTATACAGTAGGATAGATTTAAAGCCTACAAAGCCATACAATACATTGTTAAATGGATACAGTTGGAGATAGTAATGGGGGTAGATTCATGCATGGGGAATGAGAAGCAGCACTAACTTTAGAATAATGGTTACTCAGAGGTAGGAAAGGAAATGGGATTAGGAAAGGAAACACAAAGGGAGGACTTTGGATTTATTTCTTAAGCCATAGTGGTGGGTACCATTAAAACAGGAATCTGGAAGGCAGAAGCTTAAAGAGGTGGAGAGAATCTGTGTTCAGGAAAGGGAGGAGGTGTAGGCCAGTTAGCATATCATGTGTCGGCATCCATCAAGATGATGATGTAAAAATATCACTTATTGACACAAAGAGCTGTTAGGAACATATCAAGTAAAAATTAAAAGTACAAAACAGGATTATTATTATTTTTTTAAATAAATCTCTTTTTTTAAAGATTTTATTTATTTATTCATGAGAGAGAGAAAGAGAGAGAGAGAGGCAGAGGGAGAGGGAAAGGGTGAAGCAGACTCTCCACTGATCAGGGAGCTCTATCCCAGGACCCTGGGATCATGACCTGAGCCGAAGGTAGACGTTTAACTGATGGAGCCACCCAGGTGCCCCTAAGAACTTCTTATATAATAAATTCTTGAAGATTTTTAAGAAAACTCACTCCTTCAGATAAACCTCCCTTATTCACTGCTGTTCCCTTGCCATACTGCTGCGAGGATCGGAAAGCCTGGAATGTGACATGATTTTAAGTGGTTTAATGCTGATTAAATGTGTCTTGTTTCCATAAGAATATGTTTATTTTATTTATTTATTTATTTTTAAATTTTTATTGTTATGTTAATCACCATACATTACATCATTAGTTTTTGATGTAGTGTTCCATGATTCATTGTTTATTTATTTATTTTTAAAGATCTTATTTATTTGACAGAGAGAGACACAGCGAGAGAGGGAACACAAGCAGGAGGAGCGGGAGGCGGAGAAGCAGGCTTCCCGCGGAGCAGGGAGCCCGATGTGGGACTCAGTCGCAGGACCCTGAGATCATGACCTGAGCCGAAAGCAGATGCTTAACCGACTGAGCTACCCAGGTGCCCAGAATATGTTTATTTTAACATATATTACAAAAATAAATTCGTTTCAACAAATGGTGCTGAAGCAACTGAACATCCACATACAAAAAAAAGAAAAAAATGAATCTAGACACAGACCTGATACCCTTTTCCAAGATGAACTCCAAATGGATCACAGACTAAATGTGAAACAGGAAACTATAAAACTCCTGGAAGATCACAGGAGAAAAATATATTAGCACATCCAACCCAAGATTCAATTAATGCTCAAATTTATAAAAACTGGGATTCCTGCCGGGCAGGGCAAGACTGTCTTTTCAATAAATAGGGTTGGGCCTGCAGGATATCTACACAGAAAAATGTAATTTAGATCCCTCCTTTGCCATAACCCTCCACCACCCCCCCACCCCCGCCAAAAAAAATCCTAAGTGTTAAAGACAAAACAATAACCTTCTAGATGATAAACATAAACAAAACCAAAAAAAGAACACCGTTCTCTTCCATCCTTGCGTGGCCCGAGTCGCATGAGGATTGAATCAGCAGCGGAAGCGGACAATTTCGCGATGTACGACATCTGTCTGCTCTTCTCGGTAAACGGACTCCTCGTTTCTGTCCCAGCCAAGGGCTCCTGGTAGAATATGTTATTTATAGCACGACACACAAGGGCCTGGCAATACAGTGTGGGCAATGAAACATGACAAATGGAGGTGTCTCCTCGGGGAGGGAAGCTTCCTTGAACATTGCCTTGTTTCCTGTTTTTGCAGTTATATTTGCTAAGAGTGTCTGACGCGTATCATTTAATGGGGGCCTCGTCTGCAAACTTTTTTCCCTAGGCAAGCCAGGACTACTACTGACTACTTTCTACGGAGATGTGGGGTAAGTGCCCTAGGAAGCCTGCTGCCTAGAGACCACGGTTGGTTCTGAGGGCAAATGGAGCTGAGCAGTGGCGAGAAAAATCCCACCAGGTACTGAGCACTGATGGGGTCAGGCTCGTCTCACACACATGGTTAACATCGAATCCCCCCTCAGCACGTCGTGCAGTAAGGACCATTATCTTTGCTGTAGAGAGGGGTATTTTATTTTATTTTATTTTTTTTTTTTAAAGATTTTATTTATTTGTTTGAGACAGAGAGAATGAGATACAGAGAGCATGAGAGGGGGGAGGGTCAGGAGGGAGAAGCAGACTCCCCGCCGAGCAGGGAGCCCGATGCGGGACTCGATCCAGGGACTCCAGGATCATGACCTGAGCCGAAGGCAGTCGCTTAACCAACTGAGCCACCCAGGCGCCCGAGAGGGGTATTTTAACGTTCAGAGAGATTATTAAACTGTCCAAGTTCATGGATGTGTGGTCTGTGCGGTTGCACTGATCTCTGAGCTTAGAAAAGCCCCGTGTTTGGTTTAATGCACTATTAACAGCTTGAAATTCTGAATTGTTTTTTTTTTTTTTTTTAACAGAAAGCCTCACATTTTCTTTTTGTAGCGGATCCCAGAAATTCGGCAACTTTTCTTGTTCAAAAGCACTAAGGCTTGGGCTTATCCAATGCCCGTGTCTCTTTTTACTGGGCCCGTGACTGCTCTCAACTCCCTAGTGCTCAACAAGCTGGCGGGGCCACTCTGCTGTGTTTCCTGCATCCGGAGGAGGAGTGGTTTCAGGTGGAGGACAGTGGTGGAAGGAGCACCCCTCTCGGGGATGGCTTTACCCTTCTCCTTTCTCTCTGTCTGCTCTTCCCTTCCTCCCCTGTTCTGCTAGCCTTCCCCGTACTCCCAGTGGAGTGCTAGAATTGGAGCCCAGGTCTCCTGATTCCAAAGCCCATGCTCTCCTTGCTAGCCCTACCTGTGCACGGACAGGTGTTCTCAGTTCCAAATGCTTCAGCAAGTCTTTCTCTTTTTCTTTTTTTTTTTTTTAAGATTTTATTTATTTATTTGTCAGAGAGAGAGAGAGAGCAGAGGTAGAGGGAGAAGCAGACTTCCCGCTGAGCAAGGAGCCCGATGCGGGGCTCGATCCCAGGACCCTGAGATCATGACCTGAGCTGAAGGCAGATGCTTAACCAACTGAGCCATGCAGGCGTCCCCAGCAAGACTTTGATGAGGCCAGATTCACCCCACCCTCATCAACATTTTGAGCTCTGGCTGAACTGGGTGGCATTTGGGAGGATGGATCTCCAGCTTCTCGTCTGGTCCATCACTGCCTTCCAAACTCCTTCCGATGTTTATTCCGGACATCAGCCAGACAGGTGCAGCTGAAGTCCTGCAGGCACTTCAAGCCCTCCTCGCTCTCACGGCGAACCCTTCTGCCCGTAGTTGTGATCTCGTTAAAGGAAGTCACCTCTGGCTGGGGCGCCTGGGTGGCTCAGTAGGTTAAGTGTCTGCCTTCGGCTCAGGTCATGATCCCAGGGGCCTGGGATCGAGCCCTGCATGTCGGGCTCCCTGCTCAGCAAAGAGCCTGCTTCTCCCTCTGCCCGCCACTCCCCCTGCTTGTGCTCAGTCTCTTTCTCTCTGACAAATAAATAAACAAAATCTTAAAAAAAAAAGTCACCTCTGGGCTAAATGCTCTAGCCGAGTGTCTTAAAGTTGTCTCCAGCTGTTCCCCTTTTCTTATTCTCGATGTTGCTAAATCCTATGGATTTTTGTTTTCTGCCAGAAAAGCCCCATCCCCTTACCTACTGCCTTAGTGTGTTCCTCCCTTAGCTCTCCTGGAGTTCACAGCAGTGCTCACTGGGCACACACACTCATCTCTGTGTGTCTCTGGCGTTTTCAGTCAGTAACACTCTCTCTTATAATTACATTTACAAAATTTAATTGGTGTGTTAAAAAGAGGGGACCTTTATAATCTTATTTTTATGTTTTTGGTACAATTGACATGTAATATTATATGAATTTCAGGTATACAACAATAATGATTCAGTATTTGTCTACACCTTGGAATGATCACCGCAGTTAGTCCAGTTAATATCCATCACCAGGCACAGGGTAACCAGTGTCTTTGCCCTATCATCGGCCCCTTCCAGGCTACCCTCCACATTGCTGCAGAGAGTGATCTAATGATAAAACCATCCCGATCATTCACTCTCACGGGCTCCCTGTTGGCCATCGGATAAAGTCCAAATGCCTCTCACTGTCTGGCCCCATTGTGTCTTCTCAATTTCATCTTTTGTTTCTCTCCTGTACTCCATGCACCAGCTGCCCTGGGTTCCCTGTTCTCCAATAAAACTACCCTTTGTGCCTCTCTTTGCAAATGCCGTTTCTGCCTGCAATTCTTCATCTTACACTTCTCCATCCTCTTGGTGGTAACTGCATTCTCTACATCTCAGCTCAAATGTCGCTGGTGCTGGTAAGTCTTCCCAGATTCCCAACTACCTCCTTCCCTACCTCTCTCTTCTTATTCACACCTTATCACGTTATATTGGGAGCATCTGGCCTTGCATCTACCTGTCAGTAGTAGGAAGGCAGGGATAATATTTATTCCTCTTTGTATTCCCAGGGGCGAGCACAATGCCAGGCATGTAGGAGGGGCTGATGAGACATACTATGTACTTGTGAATGAACCTTGAGTAATTGTATTATTTTTGTTTATTTATTTTTTTCAAAGAGAGAGAGAGAGAGAACAAGTGGGGAGGGGGCAGAGGGAGAAGGAGAGAGAGAATCTCAAGCAGGCTCCACGCTCAGCATGGAGCCTGATGCCGGGCTTGACCTCACGACCCTGAGATCGTGACCTCAGCTGAAATCAAGAGTCGGACACTTAACCTACTGAGCCATCCAGGCACCCTGACTGTATTATTTTAAGAAACTGTTTTGATTTTTGATTTTTAAGCAGATAGTTGACATGGTATGTGTTACTTTTGATTTAGAAAAAATGCTATCAATAAATGTGTTTCAGAAACTATTTTTAAATGGTGTATACTTAATAAATAATAAAATGTGCAGGTCTGAAGCGTTTAGGTTGATACATTAGACAATTGGTATACACCTGTGTAACCACCTCCCCAACCAAGACAGAATGTTTCTGTCACCTCAGAAAGAGTCTTCATGTCTTCTTTCCAGTCAAAGAAAGGCCCATTGCCTTTAAGAATGACCCACTTTGTGATGTCTATCATCACGGGTTAACTTTGCCTGTTCTAGAATTTTTTATAAATGAAATCATATAGTATGAACTCTTCAGTAGCTGCCTTCCCCCCTCATGTCATAATGTTTTTGAGATCGTCCGCTTAGCAATGGTTTGTTCCTTTCATTGCCCGGAAGTATTCTAATGTAGGACAATTCATACATCCATTCTCCAAGTATGAGTGAGTGACCTTGAAAATCTGAGAGGCATTAAGGCATCCTGTGACCTTGGAGGGTGGCATCTGTGAGAGCAGAACATTTGACTCTTATCAGGGACCCACAAGGTCAAGGCGTTACTTATGGTAAATGACACCAGACCGATCCTTTCTTTTTACCGTTATGTTCTCTCTATTGCCATTAGATTGATGGTAGACACACCTTTCTGCCCACATTGTGCCTACTTTGTGGCATTTCTGTTGCTGATTTTGGATTCTGTGTTTCAGGGGAACATAGATAAACCAACTGTCCTAGAATCAGGCTCTAAGGAATGGTCTGGCAGGAGCTCTTTTACGTGAGACTGTGATACTGATTTTGGTTCCCCCGAGGTCTTTTATTTCCCTTCATATCTCTAGGTTCTCAGCCATGTTCCAGATGTTGGAATGGCTCCTGGATTGTACCCTCTGGCACAGTTTGGGTCTCTGGGCTCCAGATTCCCCTCTGCTCTGACCCCAGGGGTCACTTGCCTGGTGCGCCTCCTAACACTCCACTGACTATACACTCAGACCGAATACCTAAGCTCTCACTACAGAGTTACGAAGCTGCTGATAGTGTCCTTGTCTTAGGACGAACGTAGGAATGAGTACAGAAAAATGAAATAACCACAAAGCGCCCCCCCCCCGACCACACACAAAGGTTATGCTTTCTGTAATAGGTTCCCAGTCTCACATCATTTAATAGGGTGATCCACCATCTCGGTTTGCCCAGGACTCTCGCCAGTTTTAACACTGAAATTCCTGCATCCTGGGATGTTCCACGGTTGTAGGCAAACCAGGATAGTTGCCTTACCTAAAACTTAAAAACAGCTTTGAAAACATAACCTGTTTTAATCAGAAGAACCTGTTGCATTTCGTTTACCTGATGATATTATAATCTCAAAGAGTATTTATTTTTTTATTTTTATTTATTTATTAGGGAGAGAGAGAGAAAGCACAAGCAGGGGGAGTGGCAGGCAGAGGGAGAAGCAGGCTCCTCGCTGAGCAGGGAGCCCGATGCGGGACTCAATCCCAGGACCCTGAGATCATGACCTGAGCCAAAGGCAGACGCTTAACCGACTGAGCCACCCAGGCGTCCCTCTCAAAGAGCATTTATTAACCCAAAGGAGATAAACTTTTAGAGATAGCTTTTATAGAGCATGCCCAACTCCAGTATTAGCTAACTGCACGTCTGTTTCTTCAGCGCTCCAGCGTTTGGTAGAGGCCAGAGCGAGGAAGCGCACACAGGGCTTACCTCCCTGGAGGAGAGCAGGGATTCATGTGTTCGTGTCTGGAATTGAACACATTGTCAGATCACTAATGCTTCAGGCACTTTGTTCTTGGACTGTATATAATTACACAATAATGCACTATGGGAGGGGACATTTACTCTGTCTGTGCACACTCAGGAGCTTCCAGCTTGTAGGAACTCTTCATTCTGGAAAATCTCTTAGAAGAAAGCAAAAACACTCATATGGGAGTGCATGTCCTGGATGGTGGAGAAGGTGGCATCTTGATTCAGGGACAGTGGGGATTTATAGCCCTTTGTTTTGTGTTTTTTCGACCTTGGGAGAAGGACATTTTTATGTCACTGAGATTTAGGCTGTTAGCAATAAAATAATTTATTCTCAGCAGATATCTGAGATTCGGGGAAAACTTTTTTTTTTAAGATTTATTTATTTATTTGAGAGAGAGAGCGAGAGAGAGCGAGCCCACAGAGGGAGAGCGAGAGGGAGAAGCGGACTCCCTGCTGAGCAAGGAGCCTGATGCAGGATTGGATCCCAGGACCCCGGGATCATGACCTGAGCTGAAGGCAGACCCTTAACCGACTGAGCCCCCCAGGCGCCCCTCAGGGAAAACTTTTAAAAACAAATCTGCACTGTTGTGATCGGGCAAGCTGCAGAGCAGAGTCAGTCTTACATCCAGGTGGGAATGGCTGAGGCTGGGGAAACGGGCTATAAAGACGTGCAAATTAGAATCCCTTTCTAGACAGAAAGGGATTTGTTCTCAAAAGAGTGTTAGAGACCAATATCTCAGAGGAGAGCAAGTTCAGCATGGGCTACAAGGCTTTGGGGGAGAAGAGGTCACATAAAGTAGGTCCAGGAGGAAAAGTAGTATACGAACGGAGGTGAATGGGCAGGAAAGTGAAATACACCTTGGACACACATGCACATGCACACATTTCTGTCTTCCAAGGCCACATGCTTTTCGTTCTATGAGGGGCCTCTCGTGTTTGGACTTTGCCCCAACAAAGTGTCGTAGAAAGCACTAAATATATATGTTTTTAATTGAACCAGTGAAATTCTTTACTTCAGTTAAGGATTCTGGAGTCCCGCAGCCCTGGTCTTGAATTCTAGCTCTGCCACTTAGCAGTTTCATGTCCCCAGGTGAGGTGTGGAACCCCCAACACCCAGCTTCCTCCTCCGTACCATGGGGTGACACCTGCCTTGCCTATCTCCAGGTTTGTGGTGAGGGTTAAAAATGATAATGTACACGAAAGTGCTTTGAAAGTGGTAGACTTCTATGCAAAGTTGTTTTGGACTGAATTATGTTCCCCAATTCCGATGTTGAAACCCTAACCCCCAGTGTGACTGTATTGGGACAAAGGGCCTTTAAGGAGGTAATCAACGTTAAATGGGGTCATGAGGGTGGGCCCCAATTCCATAGGACTAGTGTCCTTGTAAGAAGAGGGAGAACCAGCAGAGATCTCTCTCCCCCTCTGCATAAGCACGGGGAAAAGCCATCTAAGCACAGAGTGAGAAGGTGGCCATCTGCAAGCCAGGAAGAGAGGCCTCATGGGAAACCAACCCTGCTGGCTCCTTGCTCTTGGACTTCCAGAACTGCGGAAAAAAGAAATGTCTGTTGTTTAAGTCATCTGGTCTGCGGTCTTTTGTTATGGCAGTTCCAGCAGACCAGTACAGAAGAAAATCAAGGTTTACATGGCAATGTACAACTTAGAGAATGCTTTCTTGGGCATCTTCTTGGTTTAAATTTTTATATTTTTGTTGAAGGGGTAACAAAAACAGCGTGTAGAAATTTGTTTTAATTAAGTGCACACATTTGTTTGCATCATGAAGTGTGGAGAATAGGCTTGGGTCTTGTCTTCCTGCTGCTTTGCATTCTAGAAGCAGGTGGAAATGCCAGAGAGTTCAGCAGAAAAGGTACAAGTGCACCACGATGGGTAGTCTTTGGAAAAAACTCCTTGTACTTCTCACCCTGAACTGACCCATCCGTTCTCCCTATATGTTGTTAGAGCCTCTGGGGCTGATACAAACTTTTTTTTTTTCCCAGCTGTGATAAGTGGTGTCCAATGCTGGTTGAAGATAAGAGGCTACAATTCTGTGGAAAGGATTCAGAGAAACACGAATGCCCTCCTTCCTTCCTGCGACCCTGACTTCTTGGACCAGTAAGTCACGGACACAATGGTTATGCTCTGCTTCCAGTTTGTTGTTCTCAGGGGTTGACATGAGTTTATCTGTCTTTCTGCCTCTCCTCTTCGCTCCCTGCTAACCCCTTTCCTCTCCCAGCCCCACACCGACACCCCACCTCTCCCTCGTAATTTTAACAGTTGAGGTCAAGAGGGACTGCCTCATGTTGTCTTAACCCAGAAAGGCCTTGGGAAGCTAGGAAGAGAGCATCCCCTTTGTCCTGGAGGTGGTCTATACTAGGTATTCAAGCACTTTGGCTTCTACCAGCGCTGCTGGGGTTACTAATTCAGTGATGGAAAATGAGCCCTCTTCTGGTCTTTTCTCTTTCCGTGATGAAATATGTTAATCTGACCTAGCTGGGGTGAGATCTCATCCTCTTTCTGAGCATTGACCTGTCACCTATCTTTGAGAGTGACGGTTTTAAAGGTCTGGGTGGGAAGATGAGGGCCAGTGTGGCCACAGGCATTAATGGTTTGGTGGGTTGTTCTCAACGGGAGGGAGGATTATCCTCAGGGTAGGCACCATTTTTCCTCTCTCTCTCTTTTTTTTAGTGGTAAAATATACATACATAAAATTTACCATCTTAATCATTTTTAAGTATATGTTTCGGGGGCTTTAAGTACATTCACAGTGTTATGAAACCATCACCACCACTGTCTCCAGAACATTTTCATCTTCCCAGACTGAAACTCTGTCCCCATTAAACCCTAACTCCCCCTTGTTCCCCCTCTAGTCTTTGGCCACCACCAGTCTATCTTCTGTCTCTATGAATCTGAAAATTTCACTCTTCTAAGTACTTCATATCTGTGGGAAAAGGACAAGCTTTGTCCTTTTGTGTCTGGCTATTCACGGAGCATAATGTCCTTAAGGTTCATCCATGTAGTAGCGTGTGTCAGAAATTCCTTCTGTTTTCAGGTTGAACCATGTTCCATCGTATGTGTATGTCACATTTTGTTTATCTATTCCTCTGTGGATGGACACTTGGGTTGTTTCCATCTTTTGGCCGTTGTGAGTAATGCTACTGTGAATATTGGTGTATAAAAATCTGTATGAGTGTTTGAGTCCCTGCTTTCAGTTCTTTTGGGTAGATACCCAACAGTGGAATTGCTGGGTCATAGGGAACCTCGATGGTTTAACCTTTTCAGGAACCACCAAACTTTTTCCCAGTGGCTGAATCATTTTATCTTCTTACCAGCAATACTAGGCATCTTTGTCATGGGTGTGGTGATTTATTTGGCACATTCAGATGCTCAATTAAAGCTGTAATTAAATGTCAGGTACACATTCTAAAAATACCACAGCACATGGGCCATTATGCACCGTAGAAAGATATATTTTCTTTTTTTTTTTTAGATTTTTATTTATTTATTTATTTGAGAGAGCGAGAGCAAGAAAGAGCATGGGGGCGCGCAGAGGGAGAAGGAGAAGCAGGCTCCCCACTGAGCACGGAGCCTGACTTGGGGCTCGATCCCAGGACCCTGGGATCATGACCTGAGCTGAAGGCAGACGCCTCACTGACTGAGCCACCCAGGCGCCCTGAAAGATGTATTTTCTTCTTGTTTTCACATCCAACCAGATAGGAAGTAAAATAGTTTTGGGTTTAGGAAATCAAATACGTAAATATACAGATATTTTTACATCAACATGGATAGAACTGGAGGGGATTATGCTAAGTGAAATAAGTCAATCAGAGAAACACAATTATCATACGGTTTCACTCATATGTGGAACATAAGGAATAGTGCAGGGGACAATAGGGGAAGGGAGGGAAAATTGGAAGGGGAAGAAATCAGAGAGGGAGACAAATCATACGAGACTCTTGACTCTGGGAAACAAGCTGAGGGTTGCGGAAAGGGAGGTGGGTGGGGGATGGGGCAACCGGGTGATGGACATTAAGGAGGGCACGTGATGTGATGAGCACTGGATGTTATACGCAACTAATGAATCATTGAACACTACATCTGAAACTAGTGATGTACTATACGTTGGCTAATTGCATTTAAATTTAAAAAAATATTTGATCAAAGACAACCAAACTCTATGCTCTATTGAAAGTGAGCTTCTCTTCTGATAAAGAAAGACTGTGTCCTTATGCCCAAACATGATATTCCATTTACACATCCAGGAACAAAATCTATTATTTCCTGATTTATCCCACAAGAGTTTGTTGAGCTTATTAGGGAAAATTCTTCCTAAATCTTAAGTTTTTTCTCTTTGTGCTTGAAATCAAATAAGTATATCCTTTTTCTTTAACTTAAAATTCTATAAACTGTGCCAAGTTTGGAGAGTAGCATATAGAAGATGCTCAGTAAGTGTTTTCCCGAATGAAACAGATGCTTTCCGCCTAGGTTTGACAACCACTGGTGTATCAGCTACTCTCTCCCTTGCAAATCTGGGCAGGGTGTGGGGCGGGAGAATTTACTTCCATGTGCTGTTTTAGATTTTGAAGTGTGATTGCTGTAGTACTTGCCAGTGACAAGCAGAACGCTAGTCTTTACAGTGACTCTCTGCTTTGCCCAGAGCACCGACTATGTTTATGGTCCAGTGAAGCAGCTGACTCTCCTCCTGGACTAGATGGAGATTGGCAGGTCCTGTCTGGCTGAGCCCTGGGGAGGCCCAGCCCCTAAGAGGGACCCTTCTGTACCCTGACAAGATAGTCTAGAAGCCAGTGGGAGAGGACTGAAGACCCACAAGGAACAAACACTAATCCTGGGCTTGCTGGGGAGAAGGAGCAGGGCAACCCTTCCCCGCACCTGTTGCCCCGCCCCGGGCATTGGGCATGGGCTTGTTCTCCATGCAGCCCTGATGCTGGGTGCAACCCTGCTCATTTACGATTTTAATCCACAAGGGATATTCTTATCTGATACAGTCTTCCTATGTGACACTCTATCCAACACAATCGTCGCAGCACAACATCAATCTCTTGCTAACACATCCATTCATCTTGAAGGGACTCCTGGTGGTCTGTGGTGGTTACCATAGGAGCAGAGTTCTGTGAAGAAGCTGCATTCCTCAGGGAGGAGAGCATGTGCCCCCACTCTTTGCCCTTCTGTGTGCTCCCATGTGGGCCACTTGGAGTCAGCAGTGACCCTGAGGCTCTCAACACACACACTTTCGGCATGGACATCTTTCTTGATCCCTTTGCAAACAGAACAGGAAATCCATTTGCGGTAAAGTTGAGGGGTCCATGATCTCCAATGAGCTTCTCTGGTATCGAGTCTGTTTTTCTTTTTCTTATAGCCTGTTGGCTTCACATTTTGATATTAATGTATTTTCTTATTGTGAGCTCCATTCCTCCAGCGGGCTGAGCGGTTGCCCAGCTCTTGGATAAAGAACCTTCCGACAATGACAGTGTCTGTGATGGGGGTGTGTGGGTGCCCGGCCTCTTGAGCATCCTTCGGGGTGGCATCCAGAAGACACTTGGTTGAGCTGGGTGGGACCAAAGCAGATTTTCGAAAATGTTTTCCTTGCTTTTTCATACATTTTCACACATTTGCTTTTCTACCAACTGACTTTCATTAGCTTTCTGGAATCTGGGTGAGTTAGCTGGGTGGAGGAACTCTGCTTGAAGGAGATTTTGCCTTTTTCTGTCCACACATTTTATACCTAAGTGTTCACAGCTCTGTGGCCGAGAAGGAGGGTCATACGTCCTGGGCTTCTGAGGGCTCTTTCTGTTTTTACAATCTCTCCAGGAATTTATTCTTCTGACTGATGTTCCTTCCTCTACTTCTTCACTTTTCAGAAGGTAGCCCAAGTACCCAGAGTGCACATGTATATAGTTTTGTGATTGGTTGAGGGTAATTGTTGGTGTTTAAAATACTCTTTTGACCTTGGTGTACTGGTTTGCCAGCAAATTCTATTGTGTAAGCTGAAGCAAACAACCCATGTCTACATTCTAGTTCTCTGTGATACTTAGCGCACTGTGGCGTTTATATATCAAATGCCACTAATGGTGGTGTCAATAAGAGATGATGTGACTCTTGGGGAGGCGGGGTAGACATCATTCTGGTGCATTGTACAATACTTTGTGGCCTGGATCTGACTCGGATCTCTTTTGGCCTATCATTCCCTGAGACCTTGCCCTCCTACCGTGTCCTGGTGGCGTAAGGAGAAGAAGACAAATTCTTTGCCTTCAAGAAGCTTGGGGAAAAGGCTGAGAAGTGAATAGTTACATGCAAAGTGATAATTGTTACTGTACAGATTCGGACGAGATTTGGGGAGGCTGCTTCTCTCTCTTTCATGGAGGAAAGGACAGCGTTTGGGAAGCGGGGCGAATGAGGATTGAGCTGAATCTAGACCAGGGTTTCTCATCCTTGGAACTGTTGGCATTTTGGACCAGATCATTCTTCGTTGTCCTCTACAGGGTGGGATGTGGAGTCTGGCCTCTCTACCGGGTGACGGTCGTAGCAACCCTCTTCTCTCCAGGTTGTATCAATAAAAAAATGCCTCCAGGCACAGCCAGCTGTGCCCTGAGGAATAAGATTGCCCCTGGTTGAGATTCACGGAGTCACTAGTGGAATCTGAGAGGAAAAGGGTTTCCTGTGCACAGCACGGAGGTGGGAGAGAGCTCGGCCCATCCAGGCACCCTCTAGTGCTTCGGAACTGGGTGGAACTCCGTACACCCGGAGGCTAAAAGATAAATGGGCCTGTTTTTGAAAGTCTCACCGGCAGAGCACAAACTCTGCTCTGGCAACAGGGCACGGGACTACATAGTCAGCTAGAGGTGTTGTTGGGTAGCCCACAATGGGTGTCATTAACAATATGCACCATCTGGCAGCTTCCTATTACAACGAATGTGTCTTGCTAAGTACCCTCGAAGCTTTAAAAATCCTCATTTTAAAATACTGCACCCTAAAGTTTGGTGCCTTGGGGTAAAGCCCAGGTCATGCTCTGGAGGGAGGACTTCATGTGTTCTCGCTAGGAGCCAGCGTGGAAGGTTGCATGAGAAGGCCCTTGTCATAGCAAGACAACCTCCCGAGAAACATCGGAGGGCACGGAGGCTGCAGTCTGGAGACCAGACAGAAGGCAACAGAAACAACGAAGACCTGAGACAAAGACACAATACACCCAGGGTGGAAAGGGGATGCTGGCTTGTGGGCCAATCGAAGGCATAACTGGCCAGGCTTGCCCAGGAGCCCGGGAAGGCGAAGGGGCGGTGCAGGAGAAACCCGGGGTTGTCTGGTTTGGGTATCTCCCTTTTGTAGGTGCCCAGAGATGGGAGCTAAGAGAAGAACCAATGCAGGTACAGCTAGAAGACAAAGATGGCTAGAGTCCCTAGTTGGGACGGCGGGGAAATGACCTCTTGGACCATTGGAATCTGGGGCTGGGGAGAAAGGACCAGGCTGCAGACATGTATCTGTGAGTCACTGTGTTGAGGTGGTGCTTGGAGCTGTGGGTAAGATTACCCAGGGGGGTGTGTAGAAAGAATGGAGCTCATAGGACGGAATCCTGTTTTCCGTTCCTTGCAAATCCTGCTCGCGTGCCCTTCCCCCAGCATCCTTTCCAAACCTGCAACCCACCGACAGTGCCTCCCACCCAGCCCTCCTTTTGCAGTCAAAACCCCTGGCTAAACAGTCACCATCCCGGAAACATTTGGGGTCTGACAAGTCTCTGTATTTCTGGTAATGTCTCTGTGTTTCTCTCTTGTCTTCCTGACTCCACGGTAAGCTCATTCAGGCAAGGGCTCCATTTTTGTATCTTCTCCCCCACCTTACTCTACATCAGTTCAATCCAGTAATGATCACCACTCAGAGGGCCCTGGGATCCTTGGTTGAAGATCCTCGGTCCAGCTGCACACTCCACTAGAGGACAAAGTTCAGTTCTCGAAGAGCCCTACACCCGTGTCCCTCCTGCCGGTGCCTGGGGCTCAGGGCTGACTCACTGAGTCAACATTTCTCGGGTCTGCTTGGTGGATCCCAAACCCGATTGCACGTGCGGCTCGAAAGGAGAAGAACCTCCTTGGCCTCACCTCTGAAAACACCCCTTGGAAAACCGGGTGTTTATTTTGCTAAAAACAAGCTGGATGTTGAAGCAGCATGTTGAAACGCCAAGCACTGGGTTCACTGTTTATTTTGGGAAAAATATTAAAATTCTGTTAATGCCGTGTAATCAGGGGTCAGCACCAGAACGACCGGTTAGGGGCCTTTTGAACGCCAGGCCACTGGAAGCACAGCTCAGAGGTATTGTAAAATGTGTTCTCTCCTGCCGGGCTTATCTGCCAAGAAGGGTGCAGCTTATCACCGCCAATGGGTTAACCAGGCGGCTTGTGCACTTTAACCCGCTGTTGCAACTGGCGTCATGCGCAGGGGCCATGGGATCTGGGCCCCCAGCGCTGCCGAGGCCGACTGGGGTCTGATGTCCCCTGCGCGCTCCGAGCTGCGCGAGGGGCTCGGGCTGGTGAGGGGTGTCTGCGCCCAGTGGGCTGCTTCTGCTACGTGGACATGGGGTGTGACGGCCGGGGGCGATGTGGTCCAGAGGGGTGATGCTGCTCTACTCAAGGCTTTCTTCCCCCCCTGGGAAGGGAAATGGAGTAGCCCCGTCTGGCGCAGGGACCCCATTTCTTGACTTACTCATCTGTGTGTTCTGCGTACACTCTTCAGATCTTGCCCAGAGCGCTGGACCCTGGGCGATTTGGCTTCTTGCCCCGGCTGCCGGTTTAATAATGGTGTGAATCAGAGAGGGTGATTAGCCAGCACCCACAAGCATGTAGCACCCAGGCATGCTTCAGCTCAACAGGGCTTTATTTCGGGGCTGTGGCCAAGGGCTGGATTTGCTGTTGCTGGGACAGCCACGTTTCCAGCTCCCCAGATCCAAGCGCTCAGGGGTGGAGAGTGTCTTTCTTGGGGGTTTCAAGCCTTCCTGAGGGTATCGGAGCTGAGAGGCTGGATGGATGCGCACTCACCGGAATACCCAAATCTGTCTTAGCGTCGTCACACTGTTTTTAGGGCTGAAGGTGTCAAGAGAAACAAACAGCAGGGCGAGCTTCCTCTGGGCAAGAGCACTTCCATTCAGAATAATGGAATTTAAAATCTGTAGGTCCTACGCTCTCTCCTAGTCTTTCCACGTGTGTGTGCCGAGTCTATAGTTGTCCGCGGCTGCAAGTGTCAATTGCCCGTGCCTTTTTCATTTCATTTTTGTTGAGAGGCACACGGGGCCAGAAAGAAAGGTGTGCCAAGCCCGGCTTCTCTATCCTTAGCACTCGAGGTGGGCGAAAGCCTCGGGTGCCTCTGTCTCTGGGGCAGAGGTGCATGTGGGCTAGCGGGTGGGGGCGGAGCGGAGAGACAGGGAGAACTGGCCTTGGCGTGGGAGCCGCAGGGGCTTGTTGGAGGGGCTAAGCACTCTGCAGGCCGTGTGTTCACAGGTAGCCTTTAACCCTTCCCCGTGTGTGCCTGTGATCTTTCTGCACATCTTCATTCCGCAGCCCCCAGCTTCCTGTTGCACGTGACTGGGCGTGCTGGGATGAGAGTGGTAAACACCCGGGAAAGGGAGAAGGCAGACAGAGCAGAAGGGTGCCAGGCAGGGGAAGCTTCTTGCTCAGCTGCCCAGAACTTCCTTCTCCCTCCAGTGCTAACGCACCCCCACCCTTCCTCCTCCTCCTCCGAGGGAGGAACACTGAGAACCAGCCGCGTTTCCCCTTCCTTGCCTGGATGAAGGGGCCCTTCTGCTTAGCACAGGAGGCTGCCCGCTGGCTGGGAACTGTGGGAACACGTGGCTGCCACATCGGCAGTGAGTCAGCATCCCACCTTTCTAAGAGGCTCTGGGAACGCCGCAAGGGTGCTCATCACCTCGGGTTAATATTAACTGTCCAGGCAGGTCCAAGGCAAATCCAGGAAGAGAGGCGTGGTGTCCTCAGGGTGGATGGACCTGGCGGAGGAGCCAAGAGTCCTCTTAACCTGGGCCCTTCAAATTGCCCAGTTTATCCCCCTCCTGAAAGTTGGTTTCTCTTACCCTACCGCCCGTGTGTTTGGGTGAGATACTGCAACTGGTGTGGCCCATGTAGGGAGGGGGCCGAGGGCCACAGCACACTCGTGAGTTTTTAGAGGTTTGGAAGGGCTTTGGGGCCAGAGCTGGATTAGAGGTTCAAGGTCCACCGCTGATGGCTCTAGGACTGTGGAAGGGTTGCCCTCTAAGTCTTGCTCTCCTCGCTGGGGGAAAAAAGACCTCATTGCATGTACATTTCACGGGAGAGAACTTGAGTAAGTGGCAGCTGTTAGGTTCCCTTTTTTTTTTTTTTTAAGGTTTTATTTATTTTATTTGAGAGAGAGAGAGCACAAGCAAGGGGAGAGGCAGAGAGAGAGGGAAAAGCAGGACGTGGGGCTCGATCCCAGGACCCCGGGATCATGACCTGAGCCAAAGGTAGATGCTTAACTGACTGAGCCACCCAGGCGCCTGTTAGTTTCTTTTTTATGAATGGCTGTTTCCCTTGACACTTCCCCCAGGTTCTGGCTTTCCTGCCACAAGAGCCCAGAGGAAAGCTTCTCAAACGATTCTGCTGTGAAACCTGGAGCTGGGGTTTTATGCACCACGAGGAGCAGCTGGTTTCTGGGGCCCTCAGTGATCCGAGGAGGGTGACCGTGGGCACAGAGGTGGGGGGAACCACGCAGGGGGTGGGGGCTGCACTGACTCATCACAGGTGCTGGGGTGGGGGCTGTAAATCATTGATTCACCCTAGTGGGGATTTCCTTAGTGATCCTGAATCCGTTCGTGGGCCCAAGATGTCTTGATTATGGAATGTCATCGGACCTCTGGCATTTGGAAAGGTGAGTTCAGAAAGCCCGTGAACAAGCACTGCGCAGCCTCGGGGATGTGGGCAAAAGGGTCATGAAGTCGGGCATTGCATCTCCTGTCCTTGGAGGCTTATCATCCACTGACAGATAACCAGAGTCTTAGCCAGCTGACTCACAAGGGTGGTTTTAACTCCTTCTGGGATGGTTCATGGCTAGCTCTTAGGAAGTTGGGGAACACACAAAAAAGAGGAAGATTTGTTTATTTTCTTGGCAAATATTTACTGAGCACCATTATGTGACGACCTGTTCTAAACCACAGAAGATGCAGAGAGCCCTGAGCTGAACGGACAGGTTCCCTGTTTGCAGGCAGCCTCATTTCACGGAGGGAGGACAAGAAGTAAACAGGTGTTTAAATAAATAAACAAGAGCATTTGGCGGGCAGTAAGCTGGGATGATGAAGAACTATGCTGTGGTTCTCAAACCTGAGCGAGTCTCAGACTCACTGGCCAGGCCAGTTAAAACACAGATGGCCCAGCGCCATCCTCGATGTTTCTGGTTCAGTGTCCAGGGAGGGGCTAGAGAATTTGTCTTTCTAATGCGTTCTCAGGGGATGCTGATGCTGCCGGTCCCTGGACCTCACTTGGAGAACCACTGACTCCCTCTGGGTAGGAAGGGATGGGGTGGGGGCTGGTTTAGAAACAGCACTCAGGAAGATGGGGTCAGAGTTCCTTTTAGTCAGCTGGGGGCAGAGAGGATGGAGGCTGGTTGTTATCTGCGGGTTTTTTTGTTTTGTTTTGTTTTGTTATATTGTAGAAGGGACAGCTGCAAAGAAACGGAAGACTTGGTCTCCCTCACCTCTCACTCTGCTTTTGTCCCTGACTCGATCAACATTTGGAATCTCCCTGCCCTGGGGGGCTGGCTGTCCAGTTGGCCTGAAGACAGGGCACTGCTCTGGCCGAGAGTACTCTCATCTGTTAGTTCTCACAAAGCAGCAATTTAAAGGCCAGACCTCAGTCGAAACATTTCGGAAACATCACTGTCACCAAAGAGAAGAACATTCTTATTCTAGTTGTAACCAGCTCCCCTGGCTCTTTGGGCCCCTTCTTACCAGTCACCCCCTGGGTAGTTGTGTTTTTGTACAAATCTCTCTCTACATGGAATAAGGATCAAAGCCGTCGCAGATTCCTAGATTGTAATTTATCCCAGGGCTGACGACATAGCTTTGTCTTCCTATCTCGGTGTCTGGCACACGCTTGCTGTAATGGTAAGCCCCACATGCTTGTTGATTTCAAATATACGCTCGCTCATTTACTCGCAGCTGGACACTATCCCGGCTGCTGGAGTTTCTGGCGAAGGAGACAGACCCGGCCCCTCCCTTCATGGGGTTGATGGTCTAAATAGGGGATGCAGGCAAATTAGTAGGTAATTCCCATGCAGAGGGTGGTCTTACATTCTATGCTAGGAGTGGGACCGGGTGCTAGGGGAACACATAACCTAGAGAGGTCAGGAAGACTTCCTGGAAGAAGTGACATATAGCATGGGGTGCGAGTGGGGTAGATAAGGAGTGGTGAAGGCATGTCATAGGTGCAGGCCCAGAGGTGAGAGAGAGCATGTATGGTTACAGTTGCTGAAGGGGCCCCAACCCCGAAGGCCTTGCGGGGATGAGTGAACAACTCTGGGGACACCGAGAACATGTCTTAGGGGTCTCCCTGCTTGGTGGCTATCTACAGCGCGTGTCAAGGCTCTGCCTTAGGCCCAGGTTGGGGAAACTCACGGTGGCGGTGGTTGGATGCTGTGTGGAGTTGGCCCTGTGTGCAGCTCCCCGTTCCCAGATTTGTACTTCCTCCCACCTGTGGAACAAGGAGTTCCGGGCAAACCAGTCTGGATCAAGGAAGGAGCTTGTTGAGCTCTTCACCATGAAAAGGCATTCTTGGAACAGAAGCGACAACTCTACTACAGTGTTGTTGGGGGAATGATCGGGTCCAAAATGGTTGTGGAAATACTAAAACACAGTCTTAGTGTTGATGGCTTCAGCCCAGAGAGGCACAGCTGATTTCCTCTTGAACTCGGTTGGCTTGCCTGGCACAGAGGTGCTGATGAACGACCCTGTGACCCAGGGCCAGCCAGGTCCCCTGTGGGCACCCCACTTTTTTATAGTTACAAAATGGGGATAGTCTCTGCCTCTGAGTACATCCTGGGGATGTTGTGTAGAGAAACAAGATGGTGTTTGTGAAAACAGTGGGCTCCTGGAGGAAAAGTTCAAACCTCCAGGATGTTGATTGTTAAAGGCATTTAGTTGGTGTGGCTGTGGTCACTGGTTACGCTGTGTGTGTGTGTGTACTTAATGGTTAATTATTCAGCCTAGAATCTGTATTTAATTTATTTCCATAAAAATACTTGCAGCTTGCTTTTATAAAGACTTTCTTCTATTTTATTTATATAGAGAATAGCACATGCTCTAGATCAAACTTCAGGTTCACAAGACATCTCAAATATAAAGAGAATGGGCCGAACACCACTCTTCTAGGTTAATTTTTAATTGTACTTGGAAAAGCTACGCATTTTCAGCTAAAGAGTTTGTGTTTTGGTTGAGAAGTATGTATCATCTCAAAAACTCTTTGAATGCCCTTCCCTTTCTCTTTGAAACACTTTTTCCTAAAACTATTGAGGTTCCCCAGCTTCTTTCGTCAGCAGGCGGTGCCCCTTTTGAAAGGGCGAGGGTCTTATTTAAACACAAGACCCACTAACATCCTCCGTCCCAATGGACTGGTTTTCTGGCCAGGCTTCCTCCTGCTACAGCTGACCTGCATCTCCTCCCTTCTGCTCTGGATTTTTTTTTGAAGATTTTGTTTATTTATTTGTCAGAGAGAGAGAGCACAAGCAGGGCAGAGGGAGAGACAGTCTTCCCGCTGAGCAAGGAGCCCGAGGCGGGACTTGATCCCAGAATCCTGGGATCACAATCTGAGCCGAAGGCAGATGCTCAACTGACTGAGCCACCCAGGTGTCCCTGCTCTGGATTTTTTGACACTAGGACATAGTAAAGCCTGAAGTTACCTGTAGGCAGGACATACTGAATTTTCTAATTGTTTCGGATGTTCTATTTCTCAGGCTGACTCCCAGGTTTGTTTTGCAGACATGAAAGAAACTTCTAACCTGGAGAGACAGAGAGCCTTTCCATGGGCTTTCTCCTTTTGCTTCTCTGATTTCCTTCCTATATCTCACTGAGGAATGGCATGGAAGGAGGAGAAATGAATTTCCACTGTAAAACTGAGCTGTGTGCTTGATGCAAGGAAAGAGGTTAAAGTGACTGATGCCAAATGCAAAGTATAGTTTGTGGCTGTGAGAATAATTAAGCTCAGTTTTGTTTTTTTTTTTCTCTTTAATCCTGGAGTCCAGTGTGCGGAGTCCTAAAGGGAAGCTAAGTGCCTTTCATCAGTCTTTGGAGGAAGCCTAATAAAGCCAACTCCTGTTCTTCTGGTAGATGTCTTAAGGATGTGTAAATGGAACCAGCATTTTAACTTTCTGTATGCTCTTCAAACCCACACTTGGTTTCAAAGAGGACATTGGAAATTCAATATAATGCAGTTTATTTCAGACTATATGAGATTGGCTCACCTGGGAGCATCATTTCCGGTTTGAGCCCGTCAGTTTTTTTTTTTTTTCAAAGATTTTATTTACTTATTTGACAGAGAGAGACACAGCGAGAGAGGGAGAAGCAGGCTTCCCGCTGAGCAGGGAGCCCGATGCGGGGCTCGATCCCAGGACCCTGGGATCATGACCTGAGCCGAAGGCA